GTTTATGGTAATTTTGACAACTATCATTTGGAGCTTTCTTTTGATTTGTTGTGTGGAAGCATTTTGATGTTTTATTTTTCTCAGGTATGAGAGAGCAGGATGTCTCTGAGTACAGGAACAGCCTAGCCATTCGTGTTTCAGGATTTGATGTTCCACGTCCAATTAAGAATTTTGAAGATTGTGGTTTTTCCACTGAGTTAATGAAAGCCATAGGAAAACAAGCATATGAGAAACCCACACCAATACAGTGCCAGGCTTTACCTATTGTTCTATCTGGAAGAGACATAATTGGAATAGCAAAAACAGGTTCAGGAAAGACTGCTTCTTTCGTGCTACCTATGATTACTCATATTATGGATCAACCTGAACTTCAGAAGGAAGAAGGTCCTATTGGTGTGATATGTGCTCCTACCAGGGAATTAGCTCATCAAATATATTTGGAAGCTAAGAAATTCTCTAAAGCTCATGGTATCCGTGTTTCTGCGGTTTATGGTGGAATGTCTAAGCTTGATCAGTTCAAGGAACTAAAGGCAGGATGTGAGGTTGTTGTGGCTACTCCAGGGAGATTGATAGACATGATAAAAATGAAGGCACTGACAATGTTGAGGGCAACCTATCTAGTACTTGACGAGGCGGATAGAATGTTTGACCTCGGTTTTGAGCCACAGATAAGGTCTATTGTTGGTCAAATAAGGCCGGACCGCCAGACGTTACTCTTTTCAGCGACCATGCCTCGTAAAGTTGAAAAGCTTGCTAGGGAGATCCTTTCTGATCCTGTAAGAGTGACCGTGGGACAGGTGGGTATGGCCAATGAGGACATTACCCAAGTTGTACAGGTAATTCCATCAGATGCCGAAAAGTTGCCGTGGCTGCTCGAAAAGCTTCCTGGATTGATTGATGAAGGGGATGTTCTTGTTTTTGCATCCAAAAAGGCCACAGTGGATGAAGTTGAATCACAACTAGGGCAGAAGGGTTTTAAAGTTGCGGCACTTCATGGTGACAAAGATCAGGCTTCGCGCATGGAGATTTTGCAAAAGTTCAAATCTGGGACATTCCATGTCCTTATTGCAACTGATGTTGCAGCTCGTGGCCTTGACATCAAGTCAATTAAATCTGTGGTAAACTTTGATACAGCTAAAGACATGGACATGCACGTGCACCGAATTGGTAGGACGGGGCGTGCAGGTGACAAAGATGGAACTGCATATACTCTCATAACACAAAAGGAGGCAAGATTTGCTGGTGAACTAGTTAACAGTCTGATTACTGCTGGTCAAAATGTGCCCCCGGAGCTTATGGATCTTGCTATGAAGGTAACATGGGTTTGCTTTTAGTTTTTTCTGATGCTGAACATTTTCGTGGCCGCACACAAATTATTTATCTTTGTTTCTTGTATGTTTTTAGAATTTTAATGTTTTTATGAATGGTATTTGACTAGTTAGCGGTTAAAATTGGTCAATCATATGCAATTTCAGTCCTGATGCGCGTATTTCTGTTTTCAGTTATTAATTTATATCGTGCTATAAAATGTCTTCAACTTCTCCTGTTTTTTCTCTACAACTTCTGAGGATGGTCTTTTGCTGCAGTCATTATGTTCAAGGCTATTTACCAAAAGAATTCAGAACTTTTTTTTTTTTGTTTGAACTGGCAATAGCTGCTTCTACTTCTACCATGCCATTCCATGGCTTATACAGTTAGAGAAACTGCAGGAGATAATACAGAGAGGATCAATAAAAAAAATATCTCAATAAAAGCACGTTTTTTTATCCCCTCCTTTTGCCCTTCTACATATATATCTTGCTGTTATTCCATTCTACTGTACATTTTTCGAACATGAGTGAAAAATTGGATATGCAAATCTGTTTCTCTCCATGACGATGAAAAATTGTGTAGTACTTGTCTGCATATTTAATGCTTCTGTTTTGTGTTTGAGTGACAATCATGTACTTTTTCAATCATTAGGATGGAAGGTTCAGATCCAAACGTGATGCAAGGAAAGGAGGTATGGAGTTTCTATTGTGTTTTGCGTATGCTAAGCTTACAATTTTCGTCATAATAATGTATAGAAAAATCTTGCCGTCAGACATTTGGTAAATCAATGGCCTTCCTTGATAGTATCAGTGTAATAGTCCTTTGATGTGCTGACAAACGACCACCGAATTAAAAAACCTGTATTGATCGACCACTATCGATCTTTTGTCATTGAGATTAAGAGCTCTGACATCTTTTCTACTGTTGCAGGTGGGAAAAAAGGTAAAGGGAGGGGAGGTGGGGGTAAAGGTGTTCGAGGCGTGGACTTTGGTTTGGGAATTGGTTATAATCCCGAATTTAATGCTGTTTCAAGCACTACACCTGCTCGCTCGACAGCTGTCAATTCTCTAAAAACGGGGATGATGTCACAATTCAGGAACAGCTTTGTTCCCGCATCATCAAATTCCCCGAATCAGTTTGGGCAGAACAATACAGGGGTACAACAAGCAAACAGGAGGATGGCTTTGCCTGGATTTGTATCTGGTGGGACTATTGGTGGCGACATGCATGCCGTAAAAATCAACACTACGGACAATAATTCTCCCGCGTCAAATGCTGCTAGGGAAAGGTGAGAATCCCCCCAGAATCCCCTCTTGCTTTATTTATTGGCTTTTTAATGCTTCGATATAAATATTTTTATATTGTTTGGATTTTTTGGTTTGGTATGGTTAATTTTGAAAAAAGTGATTTGATTAGTTGTTAATGAAACTTTGAGTTTATATTAAAATAATATTTAAAATAGTAAATTAATGTGTATGAATAGTGAATTAAAGTTAATGTAATGTGTAAAATGATTGAGCGGATGGATAGCGAATTAAAGTTAATGTTTGTAATATGTAAAATGATTGAGTGGTATTATGGGGTTGAGGTAAATTTGAGTTAGATTTGAGTAAAAAAAAAGTGGCTTGTTAAAAATGATTGAAATTTTTTGAAAATTTTTATATCCAGTTAGTGTTGCAAAACCTACCTACCTATGAGGTTAGATTAATTACAATATATATAATCATAATGTATATAATATTCAGTTGTTTCTGAAAGTAGGCATATTAAGTTATCACAAGTGGCTGTCAAGTGCCCATTGAGCTCTGTATGTACTCTTGAACAATTTCAATTTGTACAATAGATTTTAACTACCTGATATTTGGTATTTTTGACAATGAATAAGGTCTAGTGCTCTGCTGTTTTGTTCAGTATTTTTTCATGTGTCCCCTCTTGTCGAAAAACTAAAA